ATAGCAGATAGAAAGAAATGTAGGGAATATGCTATGATTTGTTTCTTAGATATGTCGGACGCCTATAATAGAGTAGATCTTGTTTCACTTCATAATATTCTTCTACAATGCAACATTGACCCAACAATTGCAAACTGGATTAACAACTATTTTTCTAAAAGACATCTGACCCTAGGTAATCACACTGTTGAGGTAAACTCTGGCCTACCTCAAGGTAGCTGCCTTTCCCCAACGCTATTCAATATTTATACAGCCCAACTGCACGAAATTAATAACTCTCAGACTCAACTATTTCAGTTTGCCGACGATCTTGCGTTAATATCCACTGGCACAAACAGATTCTCTGCAGCTCTAAATTTACAAAACAAAATAGAAGAATTACAGGCAAAATGCGACAGCTTAAATCTCAAATTTAATCCGAACAAAACAAAATTCATGTATATGTCTGCAAACAATAAACAAACCTTTAGTGTATCCATCAACGGCCTAAACATTGAACAAGTCCATCACTTCAAATGGCTGGGAAGAACAATTAGCGCGAACTCAACCATTAAGGTACACATTAGTGAAATTAAAAAAGCAACAACTTCAGGTAAAAACCTTATTTCAAAATTAACATCTATCAAGTCAGGTATTTCACCTAAAACTTCTATAAATCTTTTTAAAGCGTTTGTACGATCCAAAGCAGAATATGCCAACACCAGTTATGCAAATGCCCCTAAAGGGTATAACAAGCAGCTACAGACCAATTTAAATGAAACGCTGAGGAGATGCCTCGGAGTTCCTCCAAACACTCCAACACTCATGAGATACGCGCTGGCTTGTGAACTTCCACCTCTTCCCAGAGCTGTATGGCTTACGGCCAAGGAACTTGTCAAACAGTGGTTGATCAATCCTGAACTTAGAACACAGATCCAGAACAGACCTCCCATAAATTCCAGCTACAGCATAACGTACGAAAAATTTAAAGCAATTATCAACACCATAGATACAAATGTAGCTTTCAAAAGACACCATAACCTCACCTGCTACGAATCAGAATTGGCCCAGTCCAAAAAGAACGTTACCCCTACACAACTCAGAGCTATCTACAACCAAAAAATTAACACGCTAAAAGAGGAAGGTTTCAAAGTGTATGCCACTGATGCATCGGTGTCAGATAACAAAATTGGCTGTGCAGTCTATGTGGTAACGGCTAACGTCTCATACCTGTTCAATATAGATGGAAACTTCACATCAACTTACGGTGAGCTAGTAGCACTTTCTCAAGCAATCACGATAGCCATTAATAATGATAGTAAAAAAGTAGCAATATTTACAGACAGTCAGAGTGCAATTAAGGCCCTAAAAAGCCGCACCACACACAATTTCCTAGTAGCTGAAATCCATAACAAACTTTATCACTCCCAAATAGAAAACATTGCAATAGTCTGGACACCTAGCCATGTGGGTATTACCATAAATGAAAAAGCGGATATAGCAGCAAAAACAGCAGTTGACCATGGTAAGTCTTTACCCCCAAAACTCACACCTTGTGAAGCACTGAGAAGGATTAGCAAAATTTTGTGGACTGAAGCCAAACAAGAATTTACCAACAAACTTCCAAACTGGGACCCGGACATAGTAGAATTTTGCACGCCCAAAGAAAAACAGCCATGGTTTAAAAACAAAAATGTAGACTTAGAAGCACACGACATAAAACTTTTTAACAGAATTGCTACTGGACACACGTACGGTAGCACTTATTTAACCAAATTTCAGCATTACAGATCAGACAATTGCAGCGCATGCAACATAAAAGAAACTCCTGAACACCTCATATTTGATTGTATCAAATATAACAACTTACGTAATGATAATTCTCTTTTCCGAAACTACCAAAATTTCAAACAGATTCTTCTTTCAAAACTGCCTGCCACATACAAACAACTGGCCGACTTTCTACATAGAAGTGGGCTGGATAAAGCACTTTAAAAAAAAAAAAAAAAAAAGGTAATATATAAGAAGACAAAAACAAACAAGGTATTGAATGAAAAAAAAAAAAAAATAAGAATTTTAGGAAAAAAAAAAAAAAAAACAAAATAAGAAATTTAGAAAAAAAAATAAAAATAAAAAATTTAACTTAGAAAGCATTAAAATATACAAAACTATTGTATGTTTTATACAAATGAGATAAAATATACTCAACTGATTAGTTTCACTACTAGTTATATATCAACTTATAACATTCGTTTAAACAAATGTACTCAATCTGTCATTCTATGTTTGTGTTTTCAGTCTTGGTGTATTGTCTTATGTAGTCTTGTGTTGTTCTTAAATGTCATAAAATAAGAATGAGGAAAGCAGCTGTTACGCTAACATCAGCCAGAAAGAAGCAACATCAAGGAGTCGTATAATAAAACACTCTTCAACGCGGAATTTCAACAAAACACGTCGATACAAGATAAATGGAAGCAACATTGTCCAGCAGTTTAGCCGAAAGATTACAACTAACCAAACAATCGTTCGCAGATAGACTGGTGTTATGCTAAAGGAAGCTGTAATCCACAGCGTTTGGGACAAATAGCATTTCGACTTAGAAAAGAAACACTATCGTATTCAAATGGTATAAGACAACGATAACCACTGAATACATCACGATTTAATAACCGGCTATTTAAGGTGTATAAACCTAGCCATAAATGGAACTTTCGATTTGTTCCTAAAGCCCAAAAAAAAAAAAAAAACTGTGCTGCCGCTAATGCGCACAAATCCGTTGCATATGCCAAGGCGCTCGTGTGAGCACAAAGTTCACAGGCATTTACCTATATGGAAGAAAATGCTCAACAACCTCCACAAAACAAATCATAAAAAATCAGCGGCAACTTTTAGCGACTTGAAACTTGCACATTAGGTGCATTCATTTCCAAAAGAACAGCCACAGGTATGTAAACGTACATTTCTTACAATCATTCAAACAAATTTAACTTCAAATTGAAAACACATTTCTTCCAAAATAACTTAAAATCGCACACACGGAAGAACCAAATAGATTGAAAAATCATGATAATTTTTTCTTTCGTCTGTCGATTTTAGAACTGGTACCGAACTATAGAATTTAGGACTAGTTCGGAACTATCGAAAAAGTGATGCAGCGGGGGGCAATTGACACTTCCTAGGACATCGCCATGTTAAATTCGCCAGTTGCTTGCATGCAAAAGAGATTTATCGCGAATCAGTACTGGGTCTAAATGTACTAGAAGCTCACCAGTTCAGAACTAGAGATTTTCCCCACAGGGTTATTATCGGCGATTTCTCTTTTGGTGTTGCCCTTTGCATTCACACACAGAAACTCTTTTGTACGCAATTGTTGTTGTCAGCTGTGAATCGCCAACTTGAATTACACAGACAAACGAGAGCACAAAGCGTGTTTCCCGAGTACGGGCGACTCAGTACCCGTCCCCTTTCCTCGTCGCTCTTTCCCCTACAAGCTTCGAGTTTCCGCAACAAAAGTTTTCGTGTCTGAACGTCGACTTAGTGACGAAATACACGCAAAGCAACCACACAAACTCGGCTATTTATCCGAGTTTAGCCAGGTCTGTTAAAAAATACGCGACCTGAGGGGTAGTGTTGTTAAGTGAAAAAACTACTCTATTGTGTTTTCTCATGATTGTGTCTTTTGACTATATTTATTTTTCTAAAAATCTACTTGTCCTTTGAAAGTACTTTTTTTGATACGCGTCAGACATTAATGCATTTATATATTACACAGAAAGAGTGCATAATACAACCAAGTTGGAAAGTTCATCCTTGTCATCTAGATTGTCTAAATGAGTGCACTCACCATTTTTTTCAAGGGTCATGCCTCAGCCAGAAGCCCCCATCGTGATATATTAGAAAGACCTTGTCTACACCGCATCCACTTTCCCATGTAAATGGTTCATTTATTTTCCCTGAAAATTCAAGGTGCGCTGGACAATCGTTTAAGAGATGCTTGGGATTACGTTGTCGTAACTAGGACAAAGCAGGACAATGTCAGAGAAAGTGCTCCTTCTCTCGTTCTTGCAACTGTGGTAGAAATAATTTCCTTCGTCTATTTTCATTGAACAGTGTCCGTTGAGAAAACTAACCTCTAAGATAATGGAGTGACAATCAAGGACAACTTAAGATTATATCTGTTTCCATTAATTAAAAAAAAATAGATCTCGGCCATAGTTATGTATGTAGTTCATTTGTAAGTAATTTGCTTGGCGGAATTTGGGGCAGAATTAAACAGTTATAGATTAGTTCCCTTCAGTGTTAATGCTGTTTCCAGGAATATTTCTGTGCCCGTGTGTGTACAACCATTCTTCCTTGAATTGCTACCTTCGAGAGGTATTGTTGCACTGTAGATATTAGAGCTGTAGCAAACCGTTTGTATTCGTTAAAATAGTAGGTCCCCGCAGATTTAAAAATAAACAATTTAAGTGGTTTTGCAAACAAAAATACTGTCAAACTGTTTGAATGATTTGGATTAAATTTTACGTTCATATAATAACAACCCTGCAGAAAAAAATTATCAATTGATTAAAATAACCAACTTCTAGTTAGCTTTTTTGCGGGATTTCGACAAACAACTAACTTCTAATTAGCTATGATAAAACTAAATTTCAATAAGTCGTAAAGTCATGCAGGAGTCATGCAGACGTTATCGGGAGTTTGTTTTCTTTACAAGTTTCCATTTAAATATCGTCCTACAGTTGGAATTCAAATGTGGGGACACCTACAAAAGATGTAACCAAATAAGCAAATATGTAATGTTTAATAAAATAAATATAAAAAATATAAAAAATAGATTTTTTTTATTTATAGTTTATGCCAAAAAACTAGCTACAAGTTAGTTGACATCTAATACAGAGGAAACCAGTTCTCGCTAATTTGCGGCCATCGCCCTTCAAAAGTAGTTAGTTACGGCCAAAGGAAATAGTTAATAAATAGTTACCACCAGTCGACTGCTAGTTAGTTAATAGTTAGCTGCAAACTAGTCCCATTTCCTGCAGGGAAGCTAAACAAAATGAATTAGTTTCTAATTTTTCATAACCTTATAAATTATCGTAGCACATCTGAAAATTGTCTAATTAAGTTGCGAGTTCATCGCCCGTTCCCGTTATGATAGGCTGTATGAGCCACACAACGACATCGACATAGTGCAGCGATTTAAATACAGCGACTCCGCTAGCGTGGCCATGTCGTTGGGATGGACCGAAACGCTCCAGCTCTGAAAGTGTTCAACGCGAGTGGCGATGCTGGTAGATAATAGAGGAGGAGGAAGGCCTCCAGGAGACCAGGTAGAGAAGGCCTTGACTTCTCTTGGCATTTCCGACTGACGCCAGTTGGCACAGAAAATAAATGGCTGGTGTGCTTTGTTAAATTCGTTCAGAATCGCTTAGGCAGTTACATCGCCAATCAAGAAGATATGATTTTAGGGTAGATTCTTCGAAAATTTAGATAATTTTGATTGAAGCTGAAAATTTCATCAAATGGCCAGTTAATATTTTAATACCCAATCTATATATATATATGTGTGTACATTAGGGCGGGTTGATTTTTTTTTTAATCGTATAGCAAAAACGTAAACTACATAAAATTCTAAGAAAATTCTCCGAAGAAACTATGTATCTAAAATAAAATCCTAAAGCGCGCCTCTCGACTTGAAAATTTATATGGCCGCCTATGCCAAAAAAATAAATGTTAGAAAAATAACTTTTTCCAAAAAGAAATCAAATTTTCTGAATAAAATTGTTTAGTAAGGTAGTTCTTTTGCACTTTATATTTTTTCTACACTCAAAATTTTTTTTCATTAAAAAAAATATTCACCCAAGTAAAAAAGTTTGTATATAATTTTATATTTAATATTTTTATAAGGAACATAGAATGGAAAAATCTGAATGGGCCGAAAACTTGGGCCGGGAAAATTTTCCGAGTCATTAGAATCGATGGACATTTCCAATAAATCCATTATTAAATTTGCAAAACTTTGTAAATCACTGATGAACCAAAATTATAAGTAAAGGCACAAAAATTAATTAGAACAATTTAAGTTGAACACGCCAGAAAACTGATATGAAGTGCATGTGAAAATATTTATACCGAAGCGAAAGTCACTGCCTACTACGATTCTTATCAGCAGTTTGAGAGTGCACAAAACAATGGACAAAACATTTTACATAAGTGTTGTTGTCGATGTGCACTTTGTTTTGAGCAAAGCTGAGGTAACGGTATCTTACGCACTTAAACGAAAAAATGCCAATATACAAGAGAACAATTTCATGAGATAAACTGGATTAGAGGTCATGTTTTTTTCTGTTTTAAGAAGTTTGCTTTGCCTTTTTTATTACAAAAAAAAAACTATTTTTTTTAATTATTCTTTGTTTTATGCAAAACGCAGTTTAGGTGAAACGTGTTCTAACTGTTTTTTATATAGAACGCAAATCAGAGGAGATGCAAACTGGGTTTCAACTGCTTTTTTGATAATTGAATATTTTGATTAGTCTCAAACAAGACCTGTATTGCATAAACTATAATATAATATAATAAAACATAATACATTTCAAAAAAAGAAAATAATTTTAGCGAAAGAAGAGGAAAAAAATTTTCAAGTCGAGAGGCGCGGATTAGGGTTTGATTTTAGACCCATGGTTTCTTCAGAGAATTTTCTTAGAATTTAATGTAGATTACGTTTTTGCTATACGATTTTTAATTTTTTTTTCATCCATACAAATCAACCCGCCCTAGTGTACATACATACATACATGAACTATGTACTTAACACTTTTCAGATGCTTTAGGCTCCAGTATAAAATTCCTATTAGATGTAGAACGGATTTATATATTATTCGCTTGTATTGCATGCTTATTTTTTAGTATATAAATACATATATAAACTCATTATAATATTTTATAAATTTGTATGTATGTATACATAAGTGCATAGTAGATATACCTACATATACATACAATACGAAGTGCAATGATCCTTTAGAATGCCATTCGTGGCATACTCCACTCTTCGCTACGCTTTTGTATTACTATGCCAAAGCTGCACGCTGTAGAAATACACTTGTTGTTTTTATTGTTGGTATTATTTTTCGAATTTTTTATGAATACATGAAGATATGTATAGTACATGCGTGTGTACTATCCTTGCTGTTATTACTCGCTTTCATTCGTACGTCCTCAACTCAAGTGGATTACATACTTGGTATCCTCCTGTACTTGGAGTAAAAAGTGCACGTGACGTACATATAGTAGATGCTTATACATGTGTATGTATGCATCTAGCTCTATATGTGTTTGTATGTACGTGTCCCCGTCTACTTTGTCGGTGTAACGTAGAGTGCGAAAAATCCGATATACCATAACAAAAACACGTACGATAGCTTTGATTCAAATTGTGATATTTGTTTAAGTTTTGTCATTTATAAGCATATGCAAATATACATATACATAAGTATCTACGTATGCATGTTGACATGCATGCGTTTGTATATTCATACACAAAAAAGGCAGCATTATATACTATGTGCCTATTTATATATATACATATGTATATAAATATATATATATATATCAAAACCGGTGGAACCTGCATAGATTAAAATGAGTTGCAAGGAAAAGGTTTCAGGATAATTCGCCATAGTGTTAATAAAAATAGTTTAACTTAATTACATATGGACAAAATTCGCAGTGTACCAGGAAAAATTTTATG